ATTTAAATTTTTGCAGATTAAAGTTGACTGGAAAGCAAGGAGGCGGAAAGGAGTTCCACAAGCGAGAAGTGCGAAAAATGAAAATGTTAGCATAGAACTTACGGTTACATCTAGCCAGCTTAACTGTAAATTGGTGAGACCTCATTGCCAGTCTAGTACTGCGCTTAAATTCATAAAGTCTACGTACCATAGCGAAGAGCTCATCCGAACAATTACCATGAAAGCATTTATATAAAAAAAAAGGCACAGAGAGGCCATCTTGTAGCGTAATCAAAAAATTTCAGGAGTTGACACCGTTTAAGACTTGAGAGATTATGCTTCATCCTGAAACTCAAAATGTCCATACTGAATGTTGGTAAGTTACATAGCTGAGTATGAATGAGGGCATGTTTGCATCATATAAGCCTGCATTTCCTTCATGAAACACTTTATGTTGACATGGTTCAGTCAATGATCTGAAATGAGTAAGGGTCGTAAAAATGATCACCTTCCAATGACGAAAAACACTTTTCCACTTACAGATCTTTGGAAAGATTGGTTGATTTTTTACGGCTTTTTCTTTTGCAGGGTACTTAAAAATGAGACATATTTTTGGATTGTAAGAACATTTTTACTATCTAACCCATATCTGGGAGAAGAAGTGTATTCATAACATTCTGAATGATATTTGCGCGTAAGGGAATATTAGGAACCCGACTGGAATTGGAACTCGGTTTTCTGATTTTTCATTCCGAGCCTTTTAGCCATAACACCACCCGCACATCCAAGCTTACAGCACCTGGTATTTGCCAGCGAGCACCCATCTAGGTACTGGCCAGGTTCGATGTTGTATAACCTTGGTGATCGTATGGAGACCGGGGTTTAAACATGATATGGCCGTAAGCCACTTTAGAAAGAGGATCGGAGCGAGAACTTTTCAAAGCCTCCTTGAACTTCATTTTGGAAAATTACATGATGCAAGAAAATTAGAAAGCAATTACCGAAATGTAGTGATCAAAACAACAAAGATGGAATAAATACAAGTCTTCATATCAATATAAAAAGGCTGGAGACGGTATCGGCCGAAATGTAGTGATAAAAAAAAAACAGATAAGGATACTAGTCTGAATAATTCACACAATAGATACACAACTTCATCTTAGATATACAGACGATACAAGAAGGTTTTGTCCGAAATATAGTGATCAAAACAACAAAGATAAGGATACTAGTTTGAATAATTCATGGAATAAATACAAGAAGGCTGGAGAATAACAAGGCTTTATTACAGTCCTTTTTACGGTAAAACTCTGCGGTTTAAATACAAGAATAAATACAAGCATCGTAACCCAAAGAGCGTATCCACTTTTGTCAGAGGTTTCAGATAAAAATGAAAATTATTTTTAAAGAATTTAAAAGGAAAACTCAACATCGATAAAATAGATTTAGCTTCATGGATTGGCTGGAATTATTAGCGAAAATGCCCGAAAGTTTTACAGAAACGCGAAAGTAACTTTTGAGTAAAACGTTTTTTTTTTTTTAAATGGCCTTTCGTAATGGCGAAGTAATCATTGTGCTTTCGTCTTGAAGAAATAGAAGAATCAGTTATAAATCTTCGGATTTTGTTTCCTTTGTTACAGGAGGAATGTTTTCTGTGATATCTGGCTCCAACGGTATGTTCTGAAAATCCATTACCAGACGAACTTAATGGATTTGCCATTGAAAATGACTAAAATTGCAGGAATGTCTCAAGACAAAAGAAGGAAAAATCCATTAGGAAAAGTTGTCTAAATTTCTCATCTGAAGTATCGACATATTTGCATATTTGCTATTCTAACCCCGTCTTTCTTCTTTTGTTCGAAATATTTCGAACGGTAGGCTTTCTTTAAACAAAATATTATTAGAAAGTTCCCATGTGATTCGGTCGTAATGTTCAATGAAAATTTGCGAGCAGCTGACGTTTATTGGTACCCAGCCGACCGAGTTAGCCTGCTACAATCTACACGTGTTCAAATATTATACTGGAACGGCTCTGCATTCTTTACGACAGCTGCGCTGTATTCGAGCAATGTGTCTACATTAAATTTTGCGTGAACGTCGTCTATGCTTCTTCCAATTTTGTTGGGGAGTAAAGGTATTCAAGGCTTCTAAAAGAAATTTTGCTTTGGGGACTCGAGGTAGGTAAAGATATTTCTCAAAACTGATGATTTGATGTCCAGTAAATCAACCTGTAAAGTCTCATAAATGCTTTATTTGTATGATCAGATACAACATATTGTACGAAACATATTCAATTATTGAAGTAATATAAATCAGTATTTATTCACCAATCGCCGTTTAGGTTTGGTCATAGAGAAATGCTTTTTAAATATTTATAAGATCTTGAACTCGCCAGCAATCACAATAAAGTTCTTGAGAAATAAAATAATAATATAGACAGGCACATGGTGATTTTCTGAGTGTAGCTTAGATGCGGCCCAAGGCTGAAACTAAAGGACACCCAGTGAAGATCGAACTTACTATTCAGTTGTAATTGATTTAGCGAGACAACCATTCCACTACGTCGAAGTGACCATGCAGACAGGCAGATAATGGCGTGAAAATTCCGTTGTGCGCTAGTGAAATCATTCTCTGCTTTTACACATCTATACACACTTCGCCGGAGTTGTAGGTAGATACTCTTGGTTTGTTTTACAGCATATGAACCACAATGGGTTATTTAATGCCAAGATTTTTAATGCTGGTAACATTTTTTTTTTAAATATATTTTTTTAAAGTTTTTAATACCAGTAATGAATTTTTGAAGAAAAAATTATTACCAGCAATACATTATTGCTGGTAATAATTTTTTTTTTCAAAAATTCATTGCTGGTATTAAAACCTATTTTTGCACTTTCATATTGTTTTGACTCCAGTTTGTGGGTTAACTATTTGCCCGTAGCTGGGATCCTAACAGGTGCTACCACCCCCGGGTCAGGGTGGACCTGGAAACACCAGCAATTAAGAGGTGGTTCCACGCTGCTTAAAAACTTCTGATCAAAAGCCTTGCTGCCGGATGCAATTTATCCTCATACCCATGACAGTACAACTAATAATAATAAATACTAATAAAAAGAACTAAGTGTTGTGTGATGAGTCTAGTGACGTTTAAGTATGTGAATGGAAGCGTATATCGGGCTGGCGGTAGTAGAAAGTGCTTCTTCTCGGGGGTGGATGGATGGTTACTGTTGTGCCTTTCTTAGTTCTTAGGCCCTTCGGAATAAATTACTGACTGACCCCTCTCTTCATAGACCCTCAAGATATTCGCTGGTTTTGTACAGAAAAATAACTCTTTCCAGCCTGAAGTGGCCAAACTGGATGATATCTCTTACTGGAGGCGAGGGACGAGAAAAGAGAGTCAAGCCTATTTTTCCATTTTGTTTTTGAAAGAATAAATTACTGGCATTAGAATGTAACCCGCTGTCAAAAACGAATTTGGGAGTGAAATCCCTAAAGAATTTTTGGGCATCACGGATAAAAACATTTTCTGATCCAGTAAATAAATAAATGATAAGTAAATAAATAAAAGACTTTAAAGTAATTCGTCCATTTACAACTACCGTAATTTCCTCTATATAATACGCATTTTTTTCTAAAAAGTAATAAGCAAAATTAGGGGTGCATATTATGCACAGCTACAAAAATATCTTCAAAAAATTGCCGTTTCATAGGTCGATTTCAATTGCGAAATAACTACTCACCACAAACACGACATTTTGACACTAACATTCGGCGATTGCGACCCCATAAGGATGTCAAATACAATCCTATGTACCTAACAATACTTACAGATGTAAAATAAAATAAGAATTATCATAAAACTAAATTAGAATAATAATTATTCTATGTTTAAAACCATTTTTTGTGAAAAACTACATACAGATCCGGTAGATTGCACATTTTATTGAACAAAAACAAGTTAATGAGTCTGCACAGTAGGAACAATATAGGTATTTCCGTTTCCTTTTGGAATCGTGGTGATAGGAAATTTTGATAAATATCTTCAATTACAGCTTGAATAAGAGTAGGAAAGCTGGCCGTAATGTGAAATTGAAGAAGTATAATTTATTACCAAACAAGGGGTGCGTATTATGCGTGGGTAGAAGCATTTTTCTACACTTTCAGTACAATTTTAAGGGTGCGTATTGTGGATGAAGGCGTATTAAACATGGGGACTTACGGTACGTCTCTTTGAGAAGCAAGATTTTGATACCTGCTTCATTTGAAGACAAAATTCAGAAATCAGTTGAAAGGTCAACATTACATCTGAATCACACTTAGGTACCAAAATGACACCGATTTCAAAATAAGGAAAATGAAGCAGCAGCCGACAGTTTATGAAATAGTTTAATTATTAAAATCTTCATCCAGATTTTTAATTTTGATATTCGATAAATTATAGCATTTTCTTATCACACTTTTTTTTCAGGTGAAATTTACCGATTTTGAAATTTAATATATTCGTCTTAAGAGTAAGCTTATCTAAGGATTTTGAAATCTTGGAGACCGTGAAGGATTTTGAAATCTCGAATGTGTGCGAGAAGTATTTTGAAATCTCGAAGGAGTGCAAAAGGGATTTTGAAATTTCGAAGGAATGCGAGAGGAATTTTGAAATCTCAAATGAGACCTAAAATTTTTTGAAATCTCGAAGCGTGCGAACGGGTATTTGAAATCTTAAATGATTGCGAGAAGTTTTTGAAATCTCGAAGGAATTCAAAAGGGTTTTTGAAATCTCAAATGAATGCGAGGAGTATTTTTGAAATCTCGAATGTGTGTGGGAGTGTTTTTAAAATCTCGAATGAAAGATTTTGAAATATTGAATGTGTGTGAGATTTTGTTTTTTCAAATCTCAATCCGAGAAAGTCTTAATTTGCCTGAAGATACAAAATGGTATATTTGTTTTGTCCCTCTTATCTTTATCTTCGCTGTTTATATTTATAAATTGAAAAAAAATTCCTGTAAATTCAAATTTTGAACATAAAATGTTCAACCGTTGCACAATAGATGGCGTTATTGTAGCTACTCAGCGTCCTTCGTATAAACCAAACACAACGATGTTGTTTTCTCTTTCTGTTGCGTCACGATGTTATTCAAGGTTATCTGTGGTTTTCACAAATACATGTGTTGCGGCCATTTAAGCTCAGAGTTTATCTTCGCTGTTTGTTTGCTTTAACAGCTACAGTGTTTTTAAGGTCTTCTTAAATTCTTACATCTGTCAGAAATTAGATTTGACCTCTCTTACCAACTTGAAAAACGGTAGCAATATAAGTTGTTTCAAGTGAACAGTAAAATTCCGAAAGTGTAAAAAGGAGGGATAAGGATTAAGAAAATGTTAGAAACAAGGCAGTAATATTTATTAGTAAGTGAAGGAACGTAAAAAAATATTTATAACAAAAACCATTTGATGCCAACCAAAAGATTTGAAGTAACTTTTGTTGAAATAAATATTTTTCTTTGAATATATTTTGTTATTCTTAGTATCAGCTACCAAAGCAGTGTCAGGAATAAATTAAATAAGATTATAATTTAAAAAAAAAAAACCAGTGTTCCAAAAATTTAAAAAAAAAAATTGCTATGTATTATTGGGAAAGATGGAGTTTCTCATTGCCTTTTCTATAGTTGGGACTTCAGAATTTTACTTTTCTTAGAATATCTATCTATCTATCTATCTATCTATCTATCTATCTATCTATCTCAGTCTGTTCATATATTATCTGTCTCAGTCTGGAAAGATCTATCTTTCTGTTATCCTTCTCCTCTATCTCTCTATCTATCTATCTTCTATCTATCTATCTTTTATATATATCTTTCTCTCAGAATATCTATCTATCTATCTATCTATCTATCTATCTATCTATCTATCTATCTATCTATCTATCTATCTCAGTCTGTTCAATCTGTCTCAGTCTGTTCATCTATCATCTATCTCTATCTATCTATCTATCTCAGTCTTCATACACACAACACACACATAATATCTATCTCATCTATTAATATCTATCTATCTCTATCTATCTATCTATCTATCTATCTATCTATCTATCTATCTATCTATCTCAGTCTGTTCATATACATCTCTCTCTATCTATCTCAGTCTGTTAATATCTATCTATCTATCTAATCTATCTCTATCTATCTCATCTGTTCATATATCTCTATCTATATCTATCTATCTATCTATCTATCTATATCTATCTATCTATCTATCTCAGTCACATGTTCTCAGTCTGTTAATATTCATCATCATCACAGACACACACACTCACATATATATATGTATCTCATCTCAGTCTGTTAATATCTATCTATCTATCAATCATCTATCTATCTGTTCATATACACATATATACATATATATATATATATATATATATATATATATATATATATATATATCTCAGTCTGTTAATATCTATCTATCTATCTATCTATCTATCTATCTATCTATCTATCTATGCATTCTCATATACACTGACGCAAACACACACATACCCACAAAAACACACGTTTCCTTAACATGGGGAATAAAGACAATTTTGTAAATTTTATTTTCAGTTTCTCCAGCGTCCATATTGTTTCCTTTTTATGGCAGCTAAAGAGTGTGTCGACATTCTCATGATTATTGTCACGAACTCTTTCTGCCAATAATATTTCGTCCATTTTCATTTTTAGTTTTTTCACGGCCGGATGGGGTAATTTGATTTTTATTTTAGTAAATCAAACAAAAACAAAATATAGTTATCAAAAAACTAAATCAATTACAACTTAGTAGTGAGTTTAATACTGGGTGCTCCATAATTTTGTCCTTGTGACATATTTAAGCTACGCTTAGTAAATCCCTATAGTTATCGTAACATGTATAAAAGAAGGATTATTACCTAAATAAACACACACATATATATATATATATATATATATATATATATATATATATATATATATATATATGGAGAAATATAGTCTTAAGATGTGCTATATTCATGGAATAAAGTGCTCAATATCAGAGACAGAGCGTGTATAAATATAAAAGTGAACATAGAAGTCAACACTTAGAGGCGACAGTCTGTTTCATGCTATATGCAATCGTCAGGCCACGTGTGCTGTTATTTTTCTCGGCTATTTATATATATACGGGTCAGTGGTGCATTGTGGGTAGTCTATTATGGCGGTTATTTTACCGGAAGTCGTTTATATATTTATTTGGGTTAAATTATATATATATATATATATATATATATATATATATATAAAAAAAAAAACAGACCACTTTTTTAATCCATTATAATAATTTATTTCACCAGAGCCCTTTTTAAGGGACGCTGGATCATCAGATAACTCTTCCAAAAAATGAAACGAAAGATGAAATGAAAATTCACACTAGTGTGAATTTTCATTTCATCTTTCGAGAAGAACATCGCCGTCCTGGAACAATCCCCCCATTCACCTAATCTTGCTCTGCATGACACTCTTCTTTTCCCCAAGTTTAAGGGGGGGTCATCAAGAGGACTCGTTTTGACGTCTTGGAGACTATTAAGAGTGCCATAATGATGGAGCTGAGGGGTATCCCAGAAGAATACTTCCTGTAGTGCATAGAGGCGTGACAGAGAAGGATGGAAAAGTGCATTAAACTCGAGGTGGGATTACTTTGAAGGGGAAACCATGTAGTGTGTTGTTTGGAATTGAAATTGTGACACCAGTCCCATTATTTTTTCAGATAGACCTCGTATATATATATATATATATATATATATATATATATATATATATATATATACGCGTCCACCTATTTGCAAACGTTCAAGCTTCTGGAATACAAACCTATCTGTAAATTCAATTTATAATTATCGCGCCTCTTCGGAATGTAAAAATACGATTTCTCACTCATCCTTAGGAGATAAGATAATATTCCTTTTTATAAACTTTCCTTTTAAAGAATCAACCATTTTGATTATTTGAGTTTTTAGAAATTTCGTCTCCAGTCCATCTTTGATTTAACTAATCGCCAGAGTTTTCAGCTTTTTTCTCTTTTCCGGATTCCTACCCGCTTTTGAATTGGCAAACATAAAATTTTGTCAGTGATTTTAAATAATCAGGACGGTAAAAATGTAGACTCCAATTTCTCAATTTCTGGAGGAAGAACAAGTGAGAAATCGTGTTATCGCTATTTCCCAACTAGTGTATTGAAAGACATTTGTCATTATTCTTTGTTGAATTCGAGACAAATCTGTGGACATAACGATAGGATGTATATGCAGATGCAACCGACCTTAGGTTTGCAGTAAACGACAGGCGGAATACGTCATCACAGGAAGTTCAGTCGCCGTACAACAGATGGCGTCATTTTTGCTGCTCAGTGTTTTCCTATAAACACAACGCAGCTGTTGTTTTTTCTCTGTGGCGTCAAGATGTTATTCAAGACTATCTGTAAATTTCCCAAATACATATGTTGCAGGCATCTGTTGGTTCCAGTCTGATAGGAATGATTGCTAAGAAAATCATCTCCCCAAATTATAAGCAAATCCTACAAATGCTAGGATTTCTACCTAACAAAGAACAATGGACAAATTGTTGGTCTCATCCGCCATGTTTTTGTTCGTTCTTGCCTTGAAGTCCGAACGTTATAATTACTTCACTTTCTCTCTTTTGCGTCGTATGAACTCTTTTTGACAAACATGGACAAACATTTTTGCAATATGACGTACGGTCAAAAGGACGGTTTTTCTCATTACACCGATTTTTTTAGCTAATTTCACTCTTCGGCAATGTTTATTGTTTTAAAAAGCGATGATTAAAATTGGATTAAACATATGATGAAAGTGAATTTATACATTTTTTTTGCCTCTTGAGAATTTACGGCAAAAATATTAAACATTATTTATTAGAGTGTTTATTTACAAGAATGATTTCATATTTACAACATTCTAAAACCTAATGCAATATTTATCATTTACCAACCGAGAGTGGAAGAGAGAGAGGGAGAGAGAGAAGGAGAAAGAGACGGGAGGAGAGAGGGAGGGAGAGGAGGAGAAAGACGTAGAGAGGGGAGGGAAAGAGATAGAAAGGTAGAGAGAGGGAAGGAGTGAGAAAGGGAAGAGAGAGGGGAAGAGAAACAAATATGAAATTTTTTTGTTCATAAATTTAGAAACATGTAACGTGGTTGGTGTTGGTGTTGTTAAATCAAGTTACCCAGTGTTACATGTATTAGCAGTTGATAGAGGATTTCTTTTCTCTTTGTTTTATACTGAAAATGAAATGAATAAAACGTACAACAATAACACAAACAATAAGACTTTGAGAGACGTGTAGAAATTAATAACAAAAATATATATTCTTCATTTCGTGAATGTTATTACAATATTGGTTTTGTGTGTGTTAAAAATGTTTTCAGTGTTATTGTCTGTTTTGTTTCTTTAAAAATTTGTGCTGATTTGTTTTTGCTTGTTCCAAGAATTTCGTGGTTATGGGTAACTTTTTGAAACCGCCAACTGTCTATTTTCACGGAGCGAAGAAGATATGTCTGTGTTGTTCCTTTTTACTACTGCTACTCTACTGTTACTTACTCACTTGTAGTGGAAGGGTCGTTTTTATAATTATGAAGTTTCAGATTTTTAAAATGATGAAATATAATCATTACTGGTGGAAAGGTTGTTTAAGAATGATGAAATGTCACCATCATTCTGGATCATAAAAATAAAATTACTAAAATATTAATGTATACACATCAAGAAATCATTATTTACCATTTCATAAAATTCGAATCAATTGGCAATTAGTCGATGTATTGCCAACCATTTAAATAAACGACCTAATAAATAAATAATGTTTATTATTTTTGTCGTGAATTCTCAAGAACAAAGAAAATGTATAAATTCACTTTCATCATACGTTTTATTCCTATTCTAATCATAGCTTTTTAAACAATAAATATTGCTGAAGAGTGAAGGTAGATAAAAAGCGGTATCATTGTGAAACGCCATCCTTTTACAACCCGTCTTATTACGAGCACGTTTATCCATACTGTGGGAGGTACGTTAAAGTAATGGATAGCGGCTCGGATTGAGGAATCGGAGTGTTGAGTTCGAATTCCAGTCGAATCTATTACATTCACTTACGTGCTAATACCCTTAAGAAAGGTATGAATCCTCTTCTTCTCCCTCCAGCTATGGGTAAATAGCAGGACAAACCGGGTTCTATAGCCTTGGATGGTAACTGGTCTACCTCAGAAAGAAATGGCAACCTACTGCAAGAAAAATCTGCCTCGTCAGTCATGTATCGAAAGATACATGATCGCCTAAGCGTGTATCACGCATGGCACAACTGACTTATCCATGCTTGCCCTCTATTCTTACATTGTGAACTTTTTACCTTATTACTGTTGCTTTGCCCAAGTTTGTCTTGCATATATAGGGTGACCCAAAAAAACGGGAACTTTTTAACAATCCAATAAAACCAAGAGTGATGGAAGAAAAATATTTTATTCATAGTAATTAAAACCTTAAAATATGCCATTTAAGCAACAATAATGAAATTTTCATTTTTTAAAAATGACGTCCTGTAGATGGCGTCCTCCTGTACGAATGCATTCTTGAAATCTACTGTTGATATTCCTCATCGATTGCTGCAATATCTCAGCTGGGATAATGTGAATTTCATCTTGAATTCTAAATGGCGAAATGTTTACTTGTTCAAGGTAACTGTCTCGCAGTGTTGCCACTTGCTCATATCTGGCAATGCGCACTTCAAAAATTCCCGTTTTTTTTTGGGGGGGGTCACCCTGTATATTGTTTGCTTAGTACTATTTTGCCCTGTTCTTTGTCTTACTTTTATTGAAAACTTTGTCAGTTCAGTTTAGTGAACATTTGCTAAATTTGTGAAAACTGTGAGGTTACTTCTGTAGTTATTGTTCTATTCGTTTGTTATATGGTTGGCAATATTTCATCATTCTACAAATAACCTTGCCATCAGTGATGATAGAAAAGAAGGATATTTCTTCATCATTATAAAAACGACCTTTCCACCATAAGAGCGTCAGTAGAGTAGAGAACAATAGAGTAGACTAAAGTATCTGTAGCAGTAGTCAGTAGATGAGTAAACAAGTGGCAGTAGCAATACAGAAACGCA